CAGTCAGAATTTGGAGAACACTCTTGGCTAGACGAGTCCTGAGTTTGTTCTTGTAAACAAAGTCAAGTTCTTACAAGAGCAAATTCTCTGGATCTGATGTCTGTTTATAAAGTCGTTTACTTCGCTTACCATTTGAAGTTTACCACTCATTTGGCTCATTTATTATACAGTCCCTTATGAAATCTTTTATTTTTATTTAACTTTCAAGTGTTATTTTCCCAGTTAGATCCTAAATTTCTTGAGGGCAGCAGCCAGATCTTACACTTCTTCACACGTTGTACAGTGCCTTGGGCACGGATGAAGCACAGAATAGATACTAAATAAGTGTTTGTAGAATTTCAGTTACAAGTAGAAAAAAAATTCCACCATTTATGGCATGTTCTTGAGAAATGTAAACAGTCAATGACTGCTGAACATGTTTTTTTAGTGAAAAACCTAATGGAAGGAGGCATATACAAGTGTAAACACATGCTTTCTCTTTGGTCTATGCACTTTCTCCCACGATGCTTTGTCTTTCTTTTCTGTCACAAAGCCCATGAATACCGATTTCTGGACACTTGGAAAGAAATGTTTCAGATTTCTAGGACAGTGTGTTGTTAAGATTAACAAGTAATTTCTGTCACATATTTCAACCTGTCACAGTATGCAATATGGCAGCTCGATCATCCTTTTATGCCTACCATCTGCTACACGTCACCATTGTCCCCAAGAAGTCTTACATGAGTTTCATGAACTGAAGCCCACAAGATGACAGTGGCTTCTAAAAGGAAAATTTAAGCAGCCGCCATGCAGAAAGGGAACATAGATGAGGACTCAACAACAGTTGAACGCAACCAACACTTAAGTGCTTACTATAAGCAAGGCAGCTAGGTGGCAAAGTGGATAGCGTGCCAGGCTTGGAGAAAAGGTCCACCAAAATACTATAAGAAACTTGAGGATGCTATGGAGAGATGAGTGCAGGTAGGATATTTTTTAAACTTTATTTTTGTTGTGTTTTTTTTGCAACATGGCTAACATGGAAATATTTTTTTATGTAACTTCATATGTATAAATTATATCATATTGCTTGCCTTCTCAGTGGGTGGGGGGACAGCTGGAGGGAGGGAGTACGGAACTCAAAATGTAAAACAAATGAATGTTAAAAATAAATTTATAAAAATAAAATAAATGGAATCTTGAGGGCAAGATTTCCTTTAGCTTGGAGGTCAGGATGTATGAATCAGGTAAGGGCTTCATAAGGCACCTTAGCTGAGGCTTGAAGGAAAAGGCAGATTGTGGAGGGAGGCCTCCCAGGCCTCTAAATGGTCTGCACAAATGTAGAAGGGAGAATAGCTTTTAGTTTCATAGATAAATCACCAGAAGAAATCTTAGAAGTGATTGAATCCAAATCCTCTACTTTGGGGAATTATTCTCAGGAAACTGAGGCAGAGAAGTAAAATGACTTTGCTAAGGTCACATTGGTAATATAGTAGCAAAGGATGGACTCAACTGAATCCAGGTCCTGTGACTCTAGTAGTGCTTCCTTTTTCCACTGCCCCAGGCTAGGAGTAAACTTTCAGAAAAAGAGTGAAATAGAGGTTGGACCCAAACCATGGAAGACCTTGAATGTCAGGCTAAGGCATTTGTATCTTATTATCCTGTAGGCCATGAGGGCAGATAAGGTGGTGCACTGGGACTTGGCGTCAAGAAGATTTGAGTTCAAATCTGGCCTCAGACACTTACTAGCTGTGACCCTGGACAAGTCATTTAACTCATTTGCCTCAGTTCCTTATCTGTAAAATGGGGACACACTGGGGAAGGAAATGGCAAACCACTCTAGTATCTTTGCCAAGAAAACTCCTTGGACTTGTTCTTGGGTTCAGGAAGAGTCAGATCAAACAGGCATAAAAATCTACTAGGGGCTTTCTAAGCAGCCATGGGGCACTATTAAAACTGTTACTTAAAGGTTCTTTTAGTCACTGCCAGGATGAATGATAGAGGGGTAGTGAAGAAATACTGAATGTTCCCAAAATACTGAAATTGGAACTGGCAAAGAGTACCTGGAAACCCAAGGGTTCTTTTCAAAGTTTAGAAAAAGGAGTACAGGGAGAGTGGAGAAGGAAGAAAGACAACCCTCCACTGGGTTTGAGTTACTGTCAAATTCTTTTGAACTTCAAATCCTCTGATCCCAAGTTCAAGCCTTTTCCAATCACGACCACCCACTTGGGCACTGAGATCTCCTTTACGTCGCCAATGCTTTATGGCCACGCGGTAGCCACATGTAAAAACATGAAAGCGGTGACATGACAGTCACGCAAACCAAGGGCACTACAATGATCTTAGGATAGGGAGGTGGATTTGCCCGATGCCTACGGAAACCGTGGCTTGCCGCGGCTCGATGCAGCTTCCTTTGCAAGTCACACTGGATTTGACTCTGGAACCCGGGTGCAGCTCCGCAGGCATTGCACAGGGTGAAAGAAACCCCTCAGGATCTGCTAGGAAAGGGAGAGAAAACGCCTCTCCTCCACTGGCCCAGGCGGCATCCTTGAGGGTACTCAAAACTCAGGATTGTGGCTCCCACTGGGAATGCCACACACCTATGGGGGGAGACTTAGGGCAGATGATAGAGGGAGAGATGGGGGAGGGGAGCTGGAAGAGGGGGAGGAGGGAGTGGGAGAGAGGAAGGAGGAAAGAAAAAGGAAGGAGAGAGATGGAGAAAAAGGAGACAGAAGAGGAAGGAGATATTAAGAGGAGAGGGAGATATTAAGAGGAGAGAGAGATATTAAGAGGAAAGGGAGAGAGAGGAAGAGAGAGATTGGGAAAGGAAGGGTGAGCGAGAGAATGAAAGAAGGAGAGACTGAGAAAAAGAGGAAGGAGAGACTGAAAGAAGAGAAAGGAGACTGACCTAAAAGGAGGAGAGATCGAGCAAAAGCAGCATATTAAGGGATAGAGGGAGGGGGAAGGGGTGACAGGCAGAGAGACAGACACACGCATTGCTCGGGGGAGAGGGGTGGCAGGCGCGGGCACCTCCGCTTCCCCCAGCCAGCCCCAGGCTGCTCCACCCGTCCCCACCTCTGCCCGCCGCCGCCAACACAACATTCCATTTATAAATAACATCCACGTGCGCTGGTAAATAAGCGCGCGGTGGCTTTGGGCGGCCACCGCGCAGCGTAACAGGCGAGGCTCTCGCCGAGCATGCGCCGGCACGCCCGACCCGACCCTCCGCACGTGTCCGCCGACTTCCCTAGCACCGCCCCAGCTCCGCTCAGTCCCCTCCCCAAGATACCGCTCCCCTCCCCTTGCTAGCCACCGGGGCTTTGGACACCGCCCACTAGCTCTGGGCTCGCGAGCCTCCGGGGTCCTAGAGCTACCCTAGGTTCTTCGCGTGCCGTAGGGAGTGCTCTGCTTACTACTTCTCTCCCTGCAGGAGGCGCACGCGGAAACAAAAAAAAAAATCTGTTTCTGGCTCGCGCGGTCTTTTTTCCTCCTCCACCCCACGGTTCCTTAGGATTTTACTCGATTGTTTATTATTTGCGGGGCGGGGGAGGGGAGTGGTGGAAAGAGGCGGGAGATGGGAGGCCGGAGACTGGAGCCTAGGGGCCTGAGCCAGTCAGAGCGCGGCGTGGCTTGATGGGTACGAGGAGCAGCGAATGGCTGCGCGGCAGACGGCGCGGCGGTCACGCGCTTATTGATACAATGACATCATCTGTTTGTACGCGTCGAACTAGCTTGGTGCAGGGGCGGGGCCGCACGTCACTTGAGTGACTTACCCTCTGCAAAGCTCCGAGTCCTCGGGCGCTTACCACTTCGGGAAGTGGAGGTGGGGCCGGGGGCGGGAGGGGGTAGAGGGGCGCGGCTTGGCTGGCAAATCCCAATGGATGCGCTTTTGTACCATTCCTGATCGCAAATGTTGAGGACCAGGGAGCTAGCCGTTTCCGTGTTCCCAGGAACTTTCCTGAGAGTTTATATAACAATAATAAATAACGTGTATGACTTAAGACATCGACGATCTTTGAGGTTTAATTTCCACGTGGCACATATAAAGAGGTGCACAGGTAACCTGGCCTCCAGTTTTAGGCTCACGTCCATAATGCAAGGCATGGGGGTGAAAGATGTTCGCAGGAGAAAAATCTGCTTCGAAATACAGCCAATATACGCAAATACTATACCAACATAACTTAAAAAGTCAAATTATTACTATCTTCCAACCGCTTGTGATTATCGGCCTCTGCTCTTTGATTCAAAAGTGTTTTTCTGTCGGCACTAATTACTTTGTTCTTCCCCCCCCATAAAACCCATTAAAAGTAAAACTAGTTTCCGACATGAACAATTGTGTATAAACTGGCATCTGGGTTAAGACGTTTACTTTGTATGTCTAAGTGTAGGTGTGCCCTCGAGGGTCCCTACATCAATCAAAGGATTTCTGTTAGGGTCAGTTGGTGCAAGTTGTAATCTCATCCTCAAGGTGTCCCGCAGTATATGCAGGTGAGTCCATTAACCCCAGGCCAAATCACTCTTGCAAGTCTTCAGCCAATGCCTTACTAAGAAAAAGAGCAGTTATCAAATCTCTCATCTTCTCTAAGGCTCATTAGGATATGAATACTTAATCTCCTCCAAAGTGCACAAGAGAGAGCTTCCAACTGTGGGTTCCAACCGTACTGCATCCTGTGTACCCAGCTCCATCGAAGTCCTGAATGAAATTTCCAATAAGCAAAACACTTTTACACTAGGTCTTAGTCTCCTGGCTCTTGGGTAGTGCGGCAGGAGAGAGAGAGGGAGAAACTGACACTCTATATCTTGTGAACTAAACCATCCTTGCTCTTGCCGGAACAATCCTTCTAATAAAGATCTCAACTCAGTTTTTCAACTCCAGGTTCCCCTCGAGCTTTCTCCTCCCCTTCCTTGTCCAGCGTGGGCGCGCACGCACACACACAGACACACATCCCCCCTGCCGCCTGCCTTCTCGGTCCTCCCTCCCCCTGGGCGGGGACCTGTCTGCTGTCAGCTTAGGTTGAGGCTCCCTGCGTGTGTCTATAACTTTGTGTTGCTGCTGCTGCTGGTTGTTAGGAGAAGGAATGTGGAAGTCAGCAGTGTGGAGGGTGACAGGCTGCCCGTGCAAGCTGCAGGAGCGGCAGCGGCAGCAGCAAAAGCCTAAACGCTTCTCCCGCGCAGATTCTTCGCTTTCTCTTGTCTGTATTTTTGGGAGAAGTGCAGAATTTTGCTTTCTCCCCCATCGTATTTAAAGGGAAGGTGCCGCGGTAGACACAGGAACTATGCAACGGGGTTGCTGCTTTTCTCTCCTGTGACTCCGGATCTGTTTTTGAACAAGCTCAGGTTCTTCCCTTTCCCCTCCCCTTGACTTTGTCTTTCTCTCCCCCTCCGCCGTTTTCCCTAATCCGCCCCCCCTCCCCCTCCGCTTTCTCCCTTTCTAGTGTTTTTAAAGGACTTGAGTGAAGGGGGGGGAACTGTCAAGATGGCAGCAGCGGGAGCAAGGAGGTTATGAATGTGTTAGTACTGGACCTTCTCGCAGCCTTAGGGGAGACTTGAAGCTTCCAGACCTGTTGGAAGATTTCTGCTTTGATTTGCCCTTTTTTTCTTGAGAGGCAAACGACGTCAGCAACAACAATTGCAAAACAAAACACCAAAGTGGCTCTTGCCCAGTTCAGCTTCTTGCGAATAGCCTCTATTCTATTCTTTTGGTTTTTGAAAGTAGCTCGGACTGGACTGGCATGAATTTAGATGCATATTAACCGTCCCCTGCCTTTGGGTCGAAAGGAGAAGAGAAAGGGAACTGGGGGAAAAAGTCATCATGGTAATGCAAGAGCCCTAACCTCGTCTGTCGAAGCAAGAAAGAAGCCTGAGCTGTTCTCTGATGGACAGTGTAATTTCTGTGGTGTGGTGCCTCCTCGTTGGTGGGAGGGTGGAGGTCCGAGAAAGATCGGAAGACGCCACAGACTTTCTCTCCATTGCCACTGAAGGAAGCACTTCTCCATCTGCATGGAGTGAAATATAAACAAACACACACTCCCAGTAGCAGAGCAGGCACGGAGCTGCGCCACTCAACTGCGTTTGGCTTCTCCTTGCTTTAAAGGGACAACCCTCCCTCCCCAGTACCCTCCTCCTCCCCCTCCTCACTTCCCCCTCCCCTTCCCTGTCTCACTCTTACCCCCACCCCTCCCCCTCCCTCCTCCGCCCTACCTTCCTCCCTTCTTCCACGCCCCAGCCACCTTGTCCAGGAGAGACCTGCCTATCTGACCGCAGCTGGGGGAAGGGGTTGCCCCATCAGTGCCTAATCCTCGGATTGTCTCCACCCCCACCCCCCCGCACCCTCAGGCGGCGGCTGCTTTGGACTGGGAGTCGTTCGCTCTGCCAGGTTCACGGGAAGGGACGTTTCCAGGTCTGCCTGTTCCCCTGGCTTGGCGAGGTACTGATCTGGGAAGAGGAGGCGGCGGCAGTAAAGGTCCGCCGAGGACTTCATTCCAGCTCAGGATAACCAACTCTCTCCCCTGTTTCCCTCCCTTTCTCCCCACCCCCCAGCCCTCCTCCCCGCAGGCAGCGATCCTGATCCCTCAGCCTGTTCTCCCCCCTCCCCTCTTTCCCTCCCCCACTTTACCCCGCCCCAGCGAGAGAGCAAGGAGGGGAGCCACCAAGCGAACGAGGGAGAGAGCGAAGGAGCGAGCAGCAGCAGCCAAAAGGCAGCCCAAGGGCCCGGGCGGCGAAGATGGCAGAGGCGCCGTCCTCCCCGGCCCCTCTCTCGCCGCTGGAAGTGGAGCTGGACCCGGAGTTCGAGCCCCAGAGCCGGCCCCGCTCCTGTACGTGGCCCCTGCAGAGGCCCGAGCTGCAGGCGAGCCCGGCCAAGCCCTCGGGGGAAGCGGCCGCCGACTCCATGATCCCAGAGGAGGAGGACGACGAGGAAGACGACGACGGAGGCTGCGGAGCCCCTGGGGGCGGTGGAGGAGCCGGCACGGCCATGGCCATGGCCGGCACGAGCGGCGTCCTCGGCCCAGGACTGCGCCCCGAGGAGGCGGCCCGCCTCCTGGCCCCTGGAGGGCAGGACTCGGGGTCCGGCGCGCCCTCCGGGGCAGGCGTGCTGAGCGGGGGGCAGCAGGCGCCACTGCAGCCGCAGCAGGCGCCGCTGCCGCTGCCCCCTCCGCCGCCGCCGCCGCTGCAGCCGCAGCAACAGGGGGCGAGCGGGGCCGCGGGGCAGCCGAGGAAATGCTCCTCCCGGAGGAACGCGTGGGGAAACCTGTCCTACGCCGACCTGATCACCCGGGCCATCGAGAGCTCCCCAGACAAGCGGCTCACCCTGTCCCAGATCTACGACTGGATGGTGCGCTGCGTGCCCTACTTCAAGGATAAGGGCGACAGCAACAGCTCCGCTGGCTGGAAGGTGCGTACGGACTAGCCTCTCAGGTGGGATCGGGAGGGATGCACGGCAGGGCAACCCTTGGTACTTTTCCAAGCGCTTTCGCAGGTTGTGGAGGCAGTTTAAGAGGTTGTAAATGCGCGGGGGGGGGGTCCCTACGCTTATGAAGAGCGAAGGATGGAGGAGATGGGGTGCAGTGCTTACCATGGGAGGGGAGGGGGTGTAGCAGTTATATGGGATGCTCAAGGGAAGGGTATTGGTGAGAATGAGGGAAAGAGATTGTGATGCGTAGGGAAAAATTGGTTGGGGGAGTCGAGAAGGGCTCCCTGGGACGAATTCCGGAGTTGGGGGAGGCTAAAAAGTAAATGGGAGAATACCCGGGAGTTTAAGAAAGGAAAGGTGAATGTTGTCGAATTCCCTGGACAGCGCTGAGGCGGGTAGGTGGGAAGAGGGACAACTTTGTGAGGGGCAGTCTTCATTTGGTGATTACATGACAGGGCAAGAAAGAGATAGAGTGAGTGAGTGTGTGTGTGTGGTGTGTGTGTGGTGTGTGTCCGTGTCCCAGAGCGTCCGGGTACACGTAGGGATGTAGATCATGAAGAAGGTGGATGGGTGAAGAAGGTGGATTTTGGGTTCCTTGCACTTCGGAGTTGTGTTTCTTTCTCTGAAGATAATGAGTGTAGTAGCTTGGCACAGCATCATTTATCTAATGAGACAACCTGTGGCCCTTAGGTTTAAGTTTTGGTATAGATAGCAACCATAGCATACTGTACCGTGGAAACATCAAATCCTTGGGAAAAAAGGAAGGAAGTACTTAGAGAAATCTTGGATTCCAGCCTAAACCTTTTTTGGCCTAAGTCCCTTTCCTTGCCTGGGTTCTCCTACCGACTACCTTCTATAGTCATCTGCAATGCATATTGCTTAAGGGATGGCTCCTAATGAGCCTTCTGTGCAGGAAGGAAAGGCTTGGACCATTAGGAACTTGGGCATTTATCTGAGGCTGACCCTGTTCCTCAACCTGACTTTGTTTTTCCAGCCTGTTCAGCACTTGTCTGGACTTAGTTCAGAACCCGTCCCATTGCTATTAATGCCTACGCCAGAGCTCCAACGTTTTATAGTGAGATGGAGCAAGGACGCCTTGGTGGCTGGCAGAGGAGCAAAGAGAGACAGACTTGGATAATGGCTTCTACCTGTAAATGAACTGGGAAGAGGGAGACTCTCCTGTTCTCTTTTGGTCTCTTGGGGCTTCGGGCACGTGGTTGAGAGGGAGGTGTGGAGAGGCCTATGATGTAATGACTCTTTCTGCAGTTGGGCATCTAGAGAAATTAACTCTGTGTCTGCTGGTGGCTCCTTTATTCTTACCATCTCCCTCCCTCTCCTCCCCAACTTCATAGAACATCTGTTGCAGAGAAAAGACAGGACTTCTGGTAACAAGAGAGCAATGTACCAATACTGTGAGGACCTGAGTTCAAATCCTGCCTTTGTGGCTTACTTGTGTGACCTTGGGCAAGTCAATTAACCACAACTTGGGCCTTAGCTTCCTCCATTATAAAATGGGGTGGGGTGCACGGCGATTAGACGATAGAGCGTATGAGAGCTCTTTCAGCTCCAGCTATATGATCCGTTGGTCATAAGTAAAACTTGATTTTTTTTTTTAAATTTGAAAAGAGCCGACCCTCCTCCCTTCTCATGCTTATATTTGGGAATCTTGTCTCCCAAGCTTCCTACAGAAAGTTTAAAAGGTTGAGGTCTGAGAAGGGATTAAATTGAGAGAACCATTTCAGAAGAAAGACTTGGCCAGAAAGAAAATTACATTTTAATTTGCTTTTATAAAGGTTTTGAAAAGAAAATGCCTTTTTTTTTGACGTGGAAGGTATTGCCAAGGCCTGATTTCACAGAACTTAAAAGTAAAATGCTAGTTTTAGAGCCATTTTGTGAATCAGTCTTCTTCAATATATTCCTCTACCTTACCAGATATTGAATGGTGTTACAGCTTTACAAGGGTATGTCAATTGTGTGATACAAGTGCTGTTTCCAAATGACCTGAGATTTGAGCAATTCACTTTCTTCCAAATGCTAATACTGGGTACCTTTAAAGACTGAGTTTTGGAGTATGTGGTAGAAACCATTCTTTGGCCATCATTCATAGTCTCCTTTAGCATTACAAGGGAGGGGTTTGGAGCTGAGGGGACCAGAAACTAATGATTTGGGAGTTTTAAGAAAGTGGGACGATTTTCCCGATTTTTTTTTCCTTCTTGAAAACTGTTCTTCCTTTTGAATTCAGACTAGTATATTTTTTAGTTGAAATTTAATTACAAATGAAGAGTTTTCACCCTCCCTGTGACTTTAAGATTAATAAGCCCTCTAAAGAGAGGCAGTGCAGTAGGAAAGGTGTTGACTTTGGTGCTGGAGCTGATTCTGTGATCTTGGCCAAATCATTTAACTGCACTGAACCTCAGCTTCCTTATCTGTAAATTGAGGAGTTGGATTAGATGATCTTTAAGATCTCTTCTAAGATTCTAAGGATACTAGAGTAATATTATTACCTTTTAATATCTATAATTAATACCTAGTTTTGATAGCATATGCGAAAATATATTCCTTTCACTGACATAGCTAGGCTGGCTGTTAACATGCCTTCATACCATTGTTAATTTCAGTCATGATCTTTATAATATTGGGTCACAACCAATATTTTGTTTCATAGTTTCACATTTCTCTGCACCTATCTCCTGTGTCTTTACTCGGAAGTTATGAAATACTCTAAATTGAAAGGTGAGATAACTAGCGTCCTTGATCAAGAGCCTGGCAGACCTTCTGACTATTTTAATTCAAATCTGGATGTTCTACCTCTGGGTAACAAGTAGCTGGGAATTACAGTTAATTTAACACATGAAAACTTTGATCCTTGGAGACCATGGGGAGGTAATTGAGTTCAAAAGTTTTTGTAAGATGACCTTCCTTAAAAGATGCAGCCAGGCAGGAACTACCAAATCTTTGAATGTGAGAGCCCTTTGAAACTGAGGCTGGAAGTGCTGAACACCCAGTATGACTAGTGGCCTGGATTTGGTTTTCCAGCCTTTTTTTTTTTGTTTGTCTGTGGTTTAGTGTGGGTGGAAGAGGAGGGAAAGAAGAGAGGTCAGGAGCTAATTGTGACCTATTTCCAGGCATCCAGGTTTCAAGAGTTTGATTCCTAGTATGATTAGTCATTCTGGAGGGATGGAAGGAGGGAGGAAAAGAAGGTGGGTGTGTGTGTGTGTGTGTGTGTGTGTATATGTGTCCCTCCGTCCGTCCTTTCCCATCCATCTGTGTCCACCTGTACCTGTGCCTGTGTATGTCTGTGCCTGGGAATTCAAATTCAGCTATTTTCATCTTATAGTACAAATGTATCAGTTTCTTGACATATAAAAATGATCCTGGAAAATGGGCTAGAATTCTAGCTTCCCTTGTTCCTGTATGTAAAATAGCACAAAAGCCAAAGTGGGTATACCTTATTAAATAAGGTTATGAATAAGTTATTCATTTCTTTGAAAATTCATTTATTTGAAACAGTTGCCCCATTCATGTACAGAAATAAAATAAGAAGTGATTATAGAAATCACAAATTCCATTATTTACTCTTTGTCTTTTAAAAAAAATACACCTTAGACTTAAGAAGGCTTTTTTCCTTAATAGTGATTGAGAGATGAATTTTAAAGGCCTGTAACTAAATCCTGCATCTTGTTTCCAATTTGGCAAATAATGTGAATTCTTGGATTCAACATTCAGCAAGCATTTCATAAGCACCTACTATGTGCCAAGCACTCACTAGTTGGGATTACTTTACTAAAATGTATTTGTGCCTTTTTAGTAAAAAAAAAAAATCATTCTGACCACTATTTCAGCTGATAGGTTGTCTGTTTGAAAAGAGAAGTTGTATCTTTTATATATGCAAATATATAGGTACTTTAAAAATATTAGGTAATTAAAGGATAATTTTCAACATAGAAAGATGGGTACTGGATACTTAGAAAATCTGGCCTGATATGACAGTGTAATAAAAGGGTGTTTTCATCCTTGGCAGAAGAAAGGTCTCATTTTGTCAGAAGCAGGAAGCCCTGGGTTGATTTATCGTACATGAGTTCTCGGGTACATAATTCCCATTGAGGTGATGGCTGTCTCTCAGGGTTCCTTTAGCCAGGTCTTAAAGGAAAAATGAAGATTGAGGTATGGCCAAGAGGGGCAAGGATGATCATTTCCTTGAATTCAGATTAGAGTTGATCTGCACACATACTCAGCAGCAGAATTCTTGTCCTCCATTGAGACTTTACTTAAAGGTTTGTTAAATTAGAAGCCAGTAGTACTAAGTGTTATTCTTCTCAGCATTGAATACTTTCTGGAATTCCAGGGCTCACCTGAGAAAGGCCTGGTTTGTTACTTCCCTCTTCATTTGCAGAGTGTTGGGGGCAGGATCGATTATTCAGTGTGATGTTTCCATCTTGGTTCCCTTAGCATAAAAAGATGTAGCATATTTGATGATGGGAGTGGTTAGTGATGATGGATCTGAAGGAGGGGGGGTGGGGGGGAGAGAGAGACAGACAGAGACAGAGAGTGTGTGTATGTGTGTGTGTGTACATGTGTGAGTGTGTACATATATACACTCCCATATCTGTGCCCTTGGAATCTTTTCTAAGACACGGCAAAATCAGGGAGTGTTTCACGACCCTTCTTATTTCTATCTGTGGTGTTCAGTCCTCTTTGAGATGAGTACATCTGGTCTCATTTCAAAGAACGATGTGAAGGAAAGTGTTTTTCAGTGCAACTGTCCTGTGCAGCAGAGTGTGTGTGTGTGTGTGTGTGTGTGTGTGTGTGTGTGTGTGTGTGTGTGTTGTAACTGTCATCATGATAAAGTTAGAATAATTTTCTCTTTGCTTCCAAAATGTGAACTCAGATGTAGGAAAGCAACCCACTGAAGGGCTGCTTATGGCCGTGTCTAAAGCTTCTGTCTTGTGCTTGGTATTTCTTGCCAAAAGGCTATTTTGTAA